TCTTTCTTTCTTTCTTTCTTTCTTTCTTTCTTTCTTTCTTTCTTTCTCTCTCACTCTCTCTCTCTCTCTCACTCATGCAGACACACACACACACACACACACACACAAATTAATTTATTAACTCACAGAAACTGCTGCTTAGGATATGAATAGCAATCCAAATGTGTTCTAAAGAAAACACATTAGGTAAATAATATTCTGAGTGGTGTAAATGGTAAAAAATTTCAGTGACACAGGCTCCAAAGGACCTGAGCTGGATCTGGTCTGAATGGCCCCTCCCTAAGAACTAATGTTCATGGTACCAGAATGCACTCTAAAAGCTTCTAAACGAGGGAAATGACCAGCAATCCTACCCAGATACAACTTTTATGAACCACAAAAATGTCCACCACAGCACAATAACCTTAGTGTGCAGTAATGGCATACATATCTTGTTGTTAATCAATAGCTCTCTAGTTGGACTTATGATCTGCCCAACAAGAGAGAAATCATGCCTAGTACTGGAAATCTAAACAACTACCAGGGCTAATGAAGCCATGGATATTGGAGGAGAACCTACAGTTGCCACTTTACTAAACCAGTATAATCCCTAACTACATTATAAATATTTATCCTATACCAACATATTAATGGAGTTCCAACCCCTCAATATGGCTGCCTAAATATGGCCTAAAAAAGGAAGACACCAATAGATATTTTAACATGGAGGAGGAAAGTTCATGAGGCCTCAACCCTATACAAAGAACTACAGGCAACTAAGAAGTGCTGAAAGTGGAAGAAATAGTTTAATTTCAGCTTACAACTCTCAGGCCACACTCCAACGAGTGCATGAAATCAGAGCAGGAATTCAAGAAAGACAGAAACCTGGAGGGAAGAGCTAATGCAGAGGCCATGGAGGAATACTGTTTACTGGCTTGGTCCTCATGGTTTACTCAGCCTGTTTACTTATAGAACCCAGGGCCACCAGCCCAGAGATGACACTACCCACAATGGGCTGGGCCCTCCCTCATCAATCACTAATTAAGAAAATGTCCTTACAGGTTTGCCTACAGGGCAATCTGATGGGAACATTTTCTCAACTGAGGATTCCTTTTCCAAGATGACTGTAGCTTCCATCAAGTTGACAAAAAACTAACTAGCGCTAGTGACCCCTTGTCAACATCACTATTAAACCATAACATATTCCTCTCCTGTTTATCACCAAGATCTAATGTTAATATCACAATATAAAACATAGAACAACTTAAAAAGTCTCACAGTCTTTAAAAAAATTAAAGATTTTTAAAAGTACATCTTCTTAAGATATCCAAAGTCTCTCTAAAAATCCAAAGTCCTTAACTCTGAGCTCTTTTTTTTTTTTTTTTAAAGTTGCATCCTTCTTTTCCTAAGAAGGAAGAACTAGGGCACAGCTATAATCAAAGTAAAGCCAAATTCCAACAGTGTAAAAAATCCAATATTTCTGATTCAGTCATATATCCCAGGCTCCAAATTGCTTGGGCAGCTCCACTTCTCAAGCTCTGCCATTTGAAGTACACACAGGTGGCCTCTTATGCTCAGTCTAGCTCCACACCACACTTGCCACTGTCCTTGTTTGTCATCTCATAGTCCTGGAACCTCCAATACATTGGGTCTGAGCTTCAAGTGAAGTTTCATCTTCATCAATGGCCTCTCCTGGCTTCTCACAGTGCCAAGCCTCAGCTGCTTTCCATGACCCCATCACATTTTCAAAAACAGCACTGTATAGGAAATACTTACATTACCAAGTTTGGCTGACAGATTGAGATGCAGCCTTGGAGTTTCTGGACCACAGCTTATGTGTGCTAACCCCAAGGAACTACTTCCCACAAAATTTCACCACAGCGACAGCTGATTCTTCAGCCCCAGCTAAGCAGCACTGATTGTCTCAGGAAAGCAAAGTTTTCGCTTTAGTGATACTGGCCTCTTATTGATCACAGCTGATTTTCTAGGCCCAGATGACCAGAAAGCAAAGATTCTCAGTATGATTCAAAATATCACAAGACAGCCCAGGTCTCTATCACTGACATTGCTGACAGCATTCTCAGCTTTCACGTTCCCACAGAACAGCCCATGAAGCTCTACGCACTCAACAGCTTTTCCAGTCCAAAGTTCCAAAATCTTCCACATGTTTCCCCAAAACAACATGGCCAGGTGTGTCACAGCAATACCCTATGAACCCGGTACCAATTTCTGTTCTAGTTTGCCTTCTGTTTTTGTGATAAATGCCATGACCAAAAACAAGTTGGGCAGGGTAATTAAGAGTTTATTTCAGCTTAAAGCTTACATCCCTAAATGAAGTTAGGACAGAAACTCAACCTGGACAGAAAAATGGAGGCAGAAAGTGATGTAGAGACCATGGAGGGGTGCTGCTTATTGGCTTGCTCCCTACAGCTTACTCAGCCTACTTCCTTATACAACCCAGGACCAACAGCCCAGTGATGGGACCATCCATAGAGTGATGGCCCCTTTTATATCAATCGTGATATTGCCTTATAGGCCAATCTGATGGAAACATTTTCTCATTTAATGTTCCCTCTTCTTAGATGAATCTACCTTATGTCACCTCGACAAACAACAACAACACACCTATTTATTACACTAACTGGTCTCCATTTATATATTTATCTCATAGCAGTAGAAATATCAATTTTGTTTATTGGAGACAAGGTCTTACTATGTACTACTGGCTAGCTTGAACTTACTATGTAGATCAAGCTGGCATATAGCAATGAAAATTCACTTGCATCTGCTTCCAAACTGCTGGAATTAAAGGCATTCACCATGATGCCTGACACACACATTACATCTTAAGTCAAGCCACTTTATTTCCACTGCTGAAATTCTCTGCGGCTTCCATCTCAACTGAGATAAAAGCAAAACTCTTCACTAGGCACTTTGTAGTCTCCATAATCTAGCTGATTATTATGTCTTTAACCCCGTGGCTTTCTATTCTTTCCATCATTCATCCTGCTGTAGTCATGCTTTTTCTTTTCTTTTTTCTTTTATTTCCTTCCTTCTCTCCCTTTCTTCTTCTCTTTGTCTCTCTCTCTCCTTTTCTTTCCTTCCTTCTTTCTTTCTTTCTTTCTTTCTTTCTTTCTTTCTTTCTTTCTTTCTTTCTTTCTTTCTTTCCTCTCCTTCCTCCCTTCCTCTCTCCCTTTTTCCTCTTCTCTTCTCTTCCTCCTTTTTTTTCAAAGATAGGGATGGAATGTAGGGGCCTTGCACATGCTAGGTAAGTTCTCTGTGACTAAACTACATCATCAACTTTTTGAGACTAGCCTTGAACTCACTATGTAACATGATCTTCCTACCTTTTATATTTCTTTGACTTTTTGTTTTTGTCTTTGTGTGATCAGGACTTATTCTGAAGGCCTTGAAATTAATGTTCTTGCCTTTATCTCTCCATAATTTTAAAAATTAAAATAAAAAAATGCCACTAAATGTTACTTTATAAGTACAAATACCTGGGTTTAATCTCTAAAAACCCATGCTTAAAAAGACAGAGCATTGTCCCTCACTGGTTACAACGTTTGAGGGAGTGGTCCTGGGCAGCACAATAGAGTTGGCCCTGATGGTGTGGGCCCATGGGAGTCAGCCTCAAGGTCATGAGAGCAGGAAGCTGCAGCATTGGGTGAGCTAGTGAGGCAGAGCTGGAGAGCTTGCCCCGGTGGTGTGGGTTTTGGAGAGTTGGTGGTCTAACTAGCTCACCTATCACACAGACCCAAATCCAGGGCTTTGAGTTAGTCCACTCCAACATCTATTCCATCCAAGAACTGCTAGAGTGCACTCAGGGGCTTGTCCTATAGATCTAAAGCTACAGGATCTCTGTATGACACTGGACAACAACAGGATATCAGAGGGGAGTCCTGGTCAGGATCCAGTACTGATCGTGTAGCAGAAGCCAGAGGCCTTGAACCAGACCAATGACTCATTGCAATGAACATTTGCAAGCAAAGAAATGTGGACAAAATGATATACCGTAGGACACACTGTGACACACTATAGCATCCATAATGAGTTGTTTTTTTCTCTGTTGGGGGGTTACAAGGGCAGAGGGCAGGTATAAAAGGAGGCAGAGATGAGTGGGATTGGAGTACATGATATGAAATTCACAAAAAATATCAATAAAAAGTTAGTTTTTTTAAAAAGACAGAGCATGTATAGTGGGGCATTTTCAGACTGCCCGAATTAGGGAGGTAGAGAGAACTGGATTTCTGGAGCTCACTGGCTAGGCAGCCTAGCTTACTGGTGGGTTCCAGGCCAGTGAGAGAGCTTGTCTAAACCACAAAAACGATTGTGCCTAAGGAACTCCTGAAGGTAGTCTTTGGACTCCACAACATATGTAAACATGTATATACACATACATATACATACACACAAAATGGCCCATAAACTCTTTATGTACTTAAGATAACCTTAATAATAATGTATACCTTGTGTAATATGTAAATCAGAATAACCATGTATGTTCTCAAACACTTATCATTTGTGATGAAACTTTCCAAATCCCTTTTTTTAGCACTTGAAGTACAGTGCACAATTGTCACCTACAATGTGCAACAGGACCTTAGAGCTTCTCCTTCCTATCTGTGATCAGACTTTCCCATTGCTCCCCACCCCTACTCCTACCAGCCTTGAAAACTCATCATTCCACCCTCAAATTCTATGAAATTAGAAATCTATACTCCACATGTGAGCAATATCACATGTTATTTGCCTTTCTGTGTCTGGCATACTTCACTTAGCACAATGACCTACCCCCACCCCCTATCCACTTGGCAGTGTTTGAGAGTTTGACATTTTTAAAAATTTCTTGTTTTATTTTACATGCATGGATATTTTGTTTGTGTATATTATTGTATACTATGTACATGCTTGGTACTTGCAGAGGCCAGGGAGGACACTGAATCTCCCGAAACTGGAGTAAGTTACATATGGTTGTGAGCTGCCATGTGGTTGCTGGGAATTGAACTCAGATCCACTGGAAGAGCAGCCAGTGCTCTTAGACACCAAGTCATCTCTCCAACCCCAATTTGAGAGGCTTGTTTTTGTTGTTGTTGTTGAGACAGAGTTTTGTTCTACCTCAGGCTGGTTTCGAACTCCTAATCTTTCTGCCTCAGCTTTCCAAATGCTAGTATTATAGGCATGAGCAACTGCACTTAGCTTAAAATTAGAATTAAAACAAAAACAAAAACAAAAGCTGTTTGTGACAGGGTTTTGGTATGTGACTCAAGCTGGCTTATGCTCCCAATATGCTAGCTACAACCTTTTGTATTCTAGGATTAGGGCATGGACAACCATGCGTAGCCCATTTACGTTGTCATAACAGGACTTCATTTCCTTTTATGGCGTATTTAGGTATCCATTCAGCAATTAGACCTGACTGTATTTTTAGCTGTTGTGCATAATGTTCCTTGCTTTGATCTCTTCTTTTGAATGTGTTCAACGTGCTCATGTCCCAGAGCTTTGGTAATTATTCTTCCTTTTGTCTAAAATGTTTCTCTTCCAGATCTTTGTACATTTTCACATCATTCTCCTTAGATCTCTTTTTCATGTCACTGATCTTTGATTGCTCTAGACTAGTGCCTCTACTCAATCTCTGCCTCCTTTTCTCTATTTGCTATATTTTGTAACACTTCTCATAGACAAACTGACCCATGTCAGGTTATGTTTTCCATGTCTTCTCTTCTCTAGGAGACTGTCAGCTCCTTTAGGGCAAAGAAACACCTGCCTGGTTTTCCGGTAATGCCTAACATGCAGTACTCACTCGATCATTTCATAATGGGCATCCCGGAAGAACAGTAAGAAAAGTCACAATGTGTTTCATGGAATGGCGGATCAAAGAGAAGGGAGCTACTGAAAGACAGCTAGAGAATGCAGGGCTTTGAACTCAAGATTCGATAAGCTCATATTGCAGCAAGGAATGTAAAGTGTTGGATAAATCTCAAGCTGGGAAGAAATAGATGGGGTCAGAGCGATGTTTGAGGTATGAGAGAATATTAATACACCTCTGCGTGAGGCAAGAACAGCTGTGTCCATTTCAGAAATGGAACAACTTGGGGACAAATAGGGGTAACAGCTTCCAGGAATGCTAAGGGAAGATATACAGCTGGCAGGAGAGACAACTTAGGCAAAGAGTGTTTCAAGGCAGCTGAAACAGTATTGCTGAGGCTGGGCTAGTGTGGGGGTGGACAGCGCTGGCTGGGCCTCAAGGTCTCTTGGGGGCCAGGGGAGTAGGGTGGAGTGACTCTGGCAGTAGCACACTGGGGCCTCTGTGTGTGTGCTGCCTCCAGCCAGCATACTTTCCACAGAGTCTGCCCAGGAACATTTCTCTAGCTTGCTCTGCTTAATTTTTTTTTAAATAAAGCCTTTTGGGTAATTTTTTTCCTATTGAAATGAACCCACATTCTGCCTATTGCTTGGTCTTTACATCAACCGACTGCCAACCTCCCAGGCTGCCCCCACACTTCATAACATGCCTGGAGTTTGTTTGTTTGGGGACTACTTTTAATCTTGTATTTGGTTCATTTGGTCCCCCACTTGCAAGGATCTTGGTTTCTTCAAGCCTTACCAACTCGGAAATCCTGTTTCTGGGAAGTCCCTCTTTATTATTCTCAATTCTTCTCTCCTATTCTGACTTCACACCAATCACCTCTTGCTGACCTACTCACTGTGAGACCTGGAGGTTCTTTCTTGACTGCACAGCATGGCCTTAGGACTGTAAAGATTGCTAAAGCCTTCTTCATCACAGGGGTAACAGTGACCCAGTGAGAGCAGAAAATCTGTTTTGGGTTCAACTCCCTAATCTATTAACTCTGAGAGTGTTTCCACTCAAAGACAGAAGACCACTCTCCTTTTGTCCTTTTGAAGCAGGATTTCATGTAGCTGAGGCTTACTGAAGTTGAATACACTATATATAGCTGAAGGTGATAACCTTGAACTTCTGATAATCCTGCTTCTACCTCCCAACTGCTGGTATGACAGGAGTGTGCTACTGCATCTATTTTATGTATTGATGAGAACTAGATCCAGGGATTGGTGTATACTAGGAAAACATTTGACTGAGATACATCCCCAACCCCAGAAGTCTCTTCATAACATACACTAAGCTTTATGTGGGCTAATGCACCCCCAATGAGCTTTCCTTTCATCTGCTCCTCTTCCCTCATTTATCATCTCATCCATTGCTTGTCACCTAACAGAACAAAACAGAACAAAGCCAATCGTCGTTCATACTCTGACCGTAAAGAGGTTATGTCTCCTTCCAATGGCCTCTCAAATTCCACCACCGTGTCCTGGTTCCATGTTCTAGTACAGGACTCTTCTCAGCTTCCCAGCTTCTTGGCTGGCTTTTCCAGCCTCCCCCTGCTTCACTATTGTCATTCCTTGTTTCCCATATTGCCATGTATCTTTACTAAGGGGCCCAGCTATCTTTACAGTGGGATGCACACGTCTCTGGGGCTGTTGGGAACGAATCAAAAGGGAATGCAAGAATATTAGTGCTCTATAGAGATTTCCATTGTTCTTTGATGATGTACATATATTCCTCATTATGTATATTGTAAAATATATTTGTTGGAAAGGATAGTGTGTGTGTGTGTGTGTGTGTGTGTTACATGAAGTTGATCTCACACTGGAAGCCCCTAAGATCCTGACCACTCTTCTACCCTATGCATATTCTCTACATGTTAGTGACATATAAGTACATACACTTATTCCTCATGAGGAAACATTTGTGTCTTAATTCTTTCTCCTTGATTTTCCAGCCCTGCTTCCATAGTGCTTGGCCAGTGAACATTTCATGTTTCCAGCTTTAGGTTAAGTGTCATTTCTCCAAAACTTTCTTCTACTAATGAGAGTTCAAAATTTATCACCATCTACTACTGGACCTGTGGTTCCCACTATTTTTCATTCACATTTTTCTTTCCTTCTTGAGTATTCTATTTAAATCACCTGATTCCTTTTTTTGTTCTCCATTAGACAGTAGACTGGAGGCAGGGACTGTGTGCAGTTCATCTTTCTATCATATCTAGCCAACACTGTGTAAGACATGCCTTCAGTATCAGGAAATGGTTTGTTAACTGTTTTTCTTTCAAAGCTAATTTTATCAAGTATTTATCATGTGCTAGGCACTAGTGTTAACATAGATTTCCACATTTTAATTTATTTAATCATTGAAAGTGTTTTCTATTTTTTTCTGCATTTTTACATGTATATAAAATAAAACTCAGAAGTTATGGAGCTTATCCTGAGTCCCACAGCTGGCAGAGGCAGGATTCAAAGCCAAGATGCCTGATTTTATAAATTAACCTCTTAACTTCTCTTCACTAGTGAAAGAACAAAAGATTGAATGGATGTGTGCATAAATGATTGAAGCAGTAAATTTGCAAGCAGACTTACACTGTGAAATTGGAGATAAAGGCAATGCAAGGTAGATTCAGGTCAAAGATGGCTTCATGCGCTTCATCATGTGGATTAAAGAGGACAGAGGTGACCCAAGTATGTCCATGAGATGCCGCAATGGAACGTATGGAAGAACTTGTCATCAACAACTGAGAAAAAAATACAAAAGAGGTGAGTTGGGGAGAGTCCTTTATTGGCCTAAATGGCCAGGGACTTGGGATCTCAAGGTTGCTGAGCTGGTTTCAGGCTGAAGGAGGAGAAACTAAGGTTCCTCAAGTGAAAGTGACCTCTGTTATATGGGGACATGCCTGAGAGTGCAGGAAGAAAATCTCAGAAGTAAAGGTTCATAAAAGACCCCAAATCAAAGCACCTCTGGACAAGAGCTTCTCCAATCTTTATGAAGACAGATCTTGCTAAACGTGGGTTCTGATTTAGCAACCCTAGGGCAGGAAGAGGCTGATATTCACTTTCTACCAAATTCCCTGAAGCCGCTGCTGCTGCTGCTGGTGGTCCATGGATCTCACTTTAGAATGAACATAACATTTAGCAAAGCTTTAGAATACAACAAAATGGATATAGTCAATGGGCACTACATTCTTATAAAGCAATGTGATAAGTATTTAGCTTTTTCTGCTTTATGATTTTAGCTATAAAGATTGAGCCTGATATGTGTAATAATGTACTGAAATCATGATTAGTGTTCAGCATTCATGATCCCATTTAATCCTCACAGTCTGAGGAGTTAAATTCTAGCATTCCCCACATCTTAGAGATGTGTTCACCTAAGCTCAGACCCTGAGGTTACCTAGCAGTAAGATAACTATCTTCTTCCTTGCAGTTATGATCCTTCTGTCTACCCACACATCATGTACACCTTGTTTGTTCTTAGTGTGGGCAAATGGGACACAGAGGTAATCTAGAATCTGATGGGCATAGGTACAAGTTCTGTCTCTGCTGTTTCCCATGGCTTAACCTCCAAGCCTTTGTTTCCTCCTCTTAATGATGACAATAGTAAGAGAGCATGACTTACAGGGATGCGGGGAGGACTAACTGAAACAATACCCAAGACTAATGGAACAGCACCTGATGAGCACTCGGCAAACAGTAACGCCCCTCCCCCCCTTTTTTCCTTTCTGGCCCCAGCTTTTCATCCCTGCAGAAAACAGACTGAGGAACTTCTCCTAGTCCTCCCACCCCAAGGAGCTATCTTTCTCCCAAATACCAGAGCTTTGTCCTCTCATGCTAGAATTGACCTTGCTGCTTGATGAAGCAGAGCCGTGGTGTCCCTGGTGTGTTAGGTCTAGGAGGATGGTCCTCCTAGCAAAACATTGACATAGCCGAGGCACATCCATTCAAGCATGGTACCACTTCCGGACTGGGCCTGCTGTTCTCATCCAGAATGTCTGACCCTGTTCTCCAAGCCTTCCCTCTTAAACCTCAGGTACCCCTTTTCTTGAGAAGGAAGCACCATGCTGAAGGGTGAGGAAGTCTCTGAATGTGGCATTGAGGTCTACACAAACCAGGATTGTCCAAGAGCTAAGGCTGGCATCTTGCCTGGAGAAGGGCCAGTTCTGGGCCTCCTTTTTCCCCTTCATCCAGCTGTAAGATGAATGGAAACTAAACATACCAGAGTGCTGGGTCTGTCTGTTTGCTATGTTGGCTCAGGGTGGGGTTTTTCTTTCCTATAAACATCCACTGAAGCTCAATAACTGGATCCAGAGAAAGGTCATTCAGCACCAATCATCTTAAGAAGGTAGCAGATTTTAAGGAGGATTGGAAAGGCAAGTACTTAGCATCAATCTTTTCTGTTACTAACTTTAGTCTTGACATGGGAAGCACTATAACAATGTACAGGTCCCACAGACACGAGATTTCTAATCTAAAAAAAAAAATTACAGGTCAAGATAGTCTGCAGCAGAGATGAGAAAGAGTATAATTCAGTCATTTAAAATATAGCCTCAGGACTGAGAACATCTGGAATTGAATCTCAGTTCTGCAGCTTATTGGCTCCATGATATTTAGTAAGGATGTAACCACTTTGTGTGGCCTCAGTTCCATGTTCTGTGAAATGAGGATAATGGTAGCATTTCATAGAAATATTACCCCTTAGCTTGTACTTTTGGAATGCTTGACACCTGGTAAATATTCAATAAATACATGCTGAGATGAGGTATGGCAAAAATCAAAGTATGGTGGTCAGGCATAGTGCTACACATTTATCATCACAGTCTTCTTGGGAGACTGGCCCAGAATAACTATGAATATGATGCCAGCCCATGCTGCATGGTGAGTTCCGTGCCAACTTGGCCTATGCAGTGAGATCCTTCCTCAAAAACAAAACAATAACAAAAGAGCATGGAGAGTCAGCTGTCTCACTGTAGATAAAAAAGGGTCAGAAAGATGCAGAATTGGGGTGCCCTGAGCCCCAAGACTCAGGTCCAGTGGAAAGTGGGTTGAGGAGTGTGCCTACACAGGGGCTATTAGTGTGTATCAGAACCTTTATCTCATTTATATCCATATATATATGGATATAATTCCATATATATATGGATATAATTCC